ATTCCTTGACAGTTCTTCCATTGAGAGGTGCATTCTGTGTAACCCTCTCCTTGAATCTGGACTGGACCTTGAATGCTTTGACCAATGAAAGAAGGAAGAAATGATGCCATGCTAATTCTGGCTCCAGTCTTTAAGAAGATTGATAGTGTAAATCTGTGTAAGATTATCTTACTGAAGAGAAGGATGGCAAGAAAGGCCATGAGACTACATGGAGAAGAAGAATTTCCCAGCAGAATCCAGTTTACCTGTTATTCTGGTCAAGACACCAGGCATGTGAGTCAATCTGTCCTGGACTTTCCATACCAGCTCAGCTGCCAACTGACTATTGAGTGACTCCATTTGACACTACACACAGAAGAATTACTCATCCAAGCCTTGCTCAAATTCCTGACCCACAAAATGTGGTTTTCAGCAACAGAATTTCAGAGTGGCTTATTTCTGAGTCATAGAAAATCTCATAGAGAAGTCTCTTTGGAAAAATTACAAAACTTGGAAATGAGAGGGAAAAGACTGTGTACTCTTTCGGTGTCATAACTAGAGCGTTACCTAGCAAGCCTGCCTAAGGATCATTTGAAGTTCTATGGGATGGTCATTGTGTTTGGCTTAGTATTTGCTATCGAGGTCTCAGATTCTATAAAGTTCAATGTTAGCTTATCGAAGATTGACAAGTTGCAAATTATTTTTTTCAGTAGAGATAATTTCATTTTGGTAGCAAAGATCATCCTAAAGGGTGTAATTTTATTGCCGTGCACTATTTTATGTAACTTTGGAGTCTTATTCCAGCATTTTTTGGCTCATTATACATACAGGTTATAGTTTCCTGTATGCTTCTTGAACCAGTTTTGCCATCCTGCTGGTTCTCTCATCAATGAGTTAAATAAATCTTTGGCATGTGCTCATAGTATATTTGAGTGAGAGTTATGTTTTTAATTTTTTGTAATTTACATTTTGACAGTTGTTGTTGTTGTTGTTATGTGCCGTCGAGTTGGCCCCGACTCATAGCGACCCCTCCTTGGGTTTCTGAGGCAGTATCACTATGGAAGTAGGATTGCCCAACCTTCCTTCCGAGATTTTGACAGTATGATTTATATTAAAAATGTTTGTATTTTTGCAGGGGATTCAAGTCAATTCAATTAATATTTGTTGAGAATCTACTCTGTAAAATCTTATGAGCGTGGCTTAGGTAGTTTATTGGATATGAGCTAGGTCCTGAACTATGATATATTAGTTTCCTATTTCTGCTGTAACAAATTATTACAAATTTAGTAGCTTAAAACAACACAAATTTATTCTCATAAAGTTACTGAAGGAGCTGTTGTGGTGCTGTGCTTAAAGCATTGGGCTATTAACTCTGTGGGAGATAGATGAGGCAGTCTGCTTCCCTGAAGATTTACAGCCTTGGAAACCCCACAGGGCAGTTATACTCTATCCTATAGGATCTCTGTGAGTTGGGATTGATGCAGTGGCAATGGGTTTATATTCTGGAGGTCAATCTGACATGGGTTGCAGGGCTGCATTCCTTTTGGAGGTGCTAGGAAACAGTTCATTTCCTTTCTTATTCTACTTTCTAGAGGCTGTTTAAGGAGCCCTGATGATGCAGTGGTTAAGCCCTTGGCTGCTAACTTATGGTCCAAACCCCCCAGGAGCTCCACAGGAGAAAAGACCTGGTGAGCTGCTCCTGTAAAGATCACAGCCTAGGAAACCCTACTGGGCAGTTCTGCTCTGTCATCTAGGGTTGGAATTGATTCATTGACACACAGCAGAGGCTGTCTGCATTCTTTGGCTCGTGGTCCCATCCTCCATCTTCAAAGCCAGCACTGTACCATCTTCCAGCCTCTCTGCTTCTTTAGTCGTATTTTTCCATCTGCTCTTCCTTTTTGCCTCTTATAAAGACCCTTGTGATTACACTTGGCCAAACCCACCAGCCACTCCTCGAAGGAAGGTTGGGCAGTCCTACTTCCGTAGTGATACTGCCTCGGAAACCCAAGGAGGGGTTGCTATGAGTCGGGGCCGACTTGACGGCACATAACAACAACAACAACAGCCTGATAATCCAGAGTAATCATCCTATCTCAACACCTTTAACTTGATCACATCTGCAAAGTCTCCTGTGTTATGTAAGGCGTAGTAGTCCCAGGGTCAGGGATTAGGATATGGACATCTTTGGGTTCCCATTTCAGCCTACCATGTGTGATATGCATAAATCGTTTTGCAACCAAGTAAATTCCCGTTCCTGGCGACCCCACAGGTACAGAGTAGAGCTGCTCCATTGTGCTTTCAAGGCTGTTCCTTTTCAGAAGCAGATTGCCAGGCCTGTCTTCTGAAGAGCCTCTGGGAGTGTTGGAACCGCCAGCTTTTCAGCATTTAACCATTTGGACCTCCCAGGGACTCCTTAGGGGTGTAGAAATGGATTTTGATAATGGTCTTCACAGGTACCAGGGTTAGAATTTCAGCTTGTCTTCTATCTTTTTTATTTTTTTTTTGGGGGGGAAGAACACAGTTCAACCCATAACACTAATTAGAACACTCAAAGGGAGTGGAACTAGTCACCACCTTGTGACAAGAGGAGTATCAAGGAATCTGTGGACGTGTTTTAAGACAACCTATCTAAATAAATAGCTTACTTGAAGGAAAATTCCAGGCCTTCTAACTATCGCAAATTTTCTGGAAAAACAAATAGACTCTGATATTACGATGGATTATAAATTGCCAGTGATGCTCATAGCATGGTATTGGTGCAGGAATGTAAAGAACAGAGTGAGCAGCCAGGAAACAGACCTAGCATAAATGTGCATTTAGTGAGATGTCTCAAATCAATGTATAAAGGAAATGTCATCTGATTAATGGTGCTGAGGCAACTGGCTATCGATGTGGGAAGAAAGTTAATGCCTCAGGGCATCGCATTCAACAGAATAAAGTCCAGAATGATAGATAAATTCCATGTAAAAGTTAAAATCATAAAGCAGCAGGGACAAAGCATAGGTGAAAATTTGTACGATTTCAGGATAAATTTTGAGAATTTACTTGCTAAAAAATGGGAAAGTCACAAAAAATTTTAATACTTACATAATGATAAATATATAACAATAAATGCATAAAATTTCATATGCATAAGGTTGGGCAATCCTACTTCCGTAGTGATACTGCCTCGGAAACCCAAGGAGGGGTCGCTATGAGTCGGGGCCGACTCGACGGCACATAACAACAACAACAACAACAAAGCCATTAATAGACTATCAAAATACTTTCCACGCCTTACTGAAAAAGTGTTGACATAAAATACAGAGGTTTAAAAATCAATGTTAAAATTCTTTACACACTTTCAAAAAATCCACAAAAATAATTTACAAAAGGCTATGAAATATGTAAAAAGATAGATTTAATAAATTTAAGATAAATGGGTGCCATTGTCAAACCATCAGATTGACGAAGAGTAAAGGAAGGAGGGCAGGCAGGGAAGAGAGAAGTAGTGAGAGAGGGAGGAAAGCAGGAAGCCCAGGGATGAGGATGACATTACGAGGTAAAGCCTTTTGTGAATAGCTTGTGTGAGTATAAATAAGCTGTCTTTCTGGAATGGAATTTGGTGACATGCATCTAGGGTCTAAAATATTTTAACCCTAAGGAAGTAACCAGAGTTATACATGATGAATTCTATGCAAGGATATTTATCACAGTGATACTTAGAATAGTGAAAATTGTAAGTCATCTAAATGCTAATAAAGGGAAATAGATACATTATGACAAAATTATGTTTTAGAAGGTTTTTGCATATGCTTGTGTTACTAGTTAGAGAATGAAGCCGGAGGTGAAAGCTCTTCACTATATAATGTACGTAATGTGTAGCCACTGCCATTGAGTGGATTCTGACTCGTAGTGACCCACATTGGGTTTCTAAGGCAGTAAATCTTTAGGGAAGTAGATTACCTCATTTTCCTTCCATGGAGCGACTGGTGGGTTTGAACCACCAGCCTTCTGGTTAGTGGTCAAATGCCTTAGGCACAACGCCACCAGAGCTCCTTACATAATGTATACAGGACCCAAATGTTATCTGAGATTTCTTTTAATTAGTGGCATTAGAGGTGATTTCTTAAAACCTGTTTTTTTCTGTTTACTTTTATATTTTCCAATTTTTCTATAATGGATGTGTACTATATTTATACATAGAAAAATGTTGTTATTTAAAAAGTAGTAACATCTCATTAAAAGTAGCCTACACTGTTTAAAAAAATAAAAAGTAGAAACATAAGAAAGATTGGAAGAACCGAGAAAGGAAGTCTCATACCAGTTCTTCAATACAGCCATTAATCCTATCGTCCCTTCTTGGAAGTTTCCATAATGAATGAGAAGAAAGTGGTGTAAAGATACTGTTTTTATTTTTGAAGTATCACCAATTAAACTTTTTAAAATGGCAATATATACCAGATATCTGGGTATTCTATTTGTAGAACTTCTCAACACTGGTCTGACAAACATTTCCCAAGACACAGTTACTAGAGAGGAGAAAAATAAGTTTTTAGGTGGAAACAGGAAGAGTCATTAGTGCTCTTAGAGGGGTCCTCTTTCAGTTATTCTTCAAATATTCATTGAATGCCCAAATGCCCAGTATGTGCAAAGCTCTAGATTGTGTTGTATGAGGCATTAAATAGGACAGTTCTTTACCATCACTTGAATGAATTCATTAATTCGATAAACATGGACTGATCCATCTACCTCAGCTCTAAGCACTGGGGATGAATCGGAACAAAACAGAAAGAATACTTGCTCATCAGGAGTTTACACTCTCATTTTAAACAATGATATCCACCTTTCAAGAACTTAGACTGTAATTGGGAGCTAGAAACAGGAATTTGGGCTTGTTGAGGTAGAAAATTCAAATTTCCGTATGTTGGGTCATCTAGTTTATCATTTTCTAAAAAATTATTTCCTGTCATTTACATAAGTCCAGAAACTCCTACTTTGCCTAGATCAGTACATACCTTTTAGTTACCTTATTTAGTGCATCTTTCAGCTCCTTGTTTCTCATACTGTAGATTAAAGGGTTCAAGAGGGGCGTAACAAAGGTATAGACAACAGAAACTGCACGTCCCATTTCTGGGTTGTAGCTGGAGCTGGGCCGTAAATAGATAAGGCTGCAGCAGCCATATTGGAGGAGAACCACAGTCAGATGAGAAGAGCAAGTAGAGAAGGCCTTGTGCCGTCCCTCTACTGAGTGCATCTTCAAAATAGTAGCCACAATGAAGATGTATGAGGTGGAGATCAGGGAGAAGGGGATAGTGAGGGTGATGACACTGGTGATGAAGACCATGGCTTCTGGCATTTGAGTATCTCCACATGCCAACCGCAGAATGGGGAGGACATCACAGTAGAAGTGAGTGAGTCTATTGTGGCCACAAAATGACAGATGGAAAATAAAAATTGTCAGTAGTAAGGCTAGAATGAAACCCAGGACCAGGGCTCCCATAGCCAGCTGGACACACAGCTGCCATCTCATGATGAGGGTGTAAGACAAGGGATCCCGGATAGCCATGAACCGGTCATAAGCCATGATTCCCAAGAGGATACAGTCAGCACTCCCCAGAAAGACAAAGAAGAACATCTGTGTGCCACAGCCAGTGAAGGAGATGGGTATTTTCCCCATGGTCAAGAGGTTGACCAGCGCCAGAGGGGCAACAGTAGATGAGTAGAAGATCTCCAGAACTGCAAGACTGGCCAGAAAGAAATACATGGGGGTGTGGAGCGAATGCTCAGCCCAGATAGTGAGAAAGATTGTGGCATTACCAATGAGGCTGCCAATATATATTAACAGGAAAGTCACATAAATGAACATCTGAACCTCCAGGATGGGTGAAAACAGCTGAAAGTAGAACTTGATCTCTCCAGTTTGGTTTCCATCCCCCATAAAACCACATTGGCACATCGGATTTTCTAGGACAGAAGAGAAAATATGTTAAGAAAGAAAGTTCTGTGTCTTTAAGATGCAGGTCATGACAATGTTTTACCGCCTATAGATTTTATGGTTATGGAGATGAATTTAAGCTATGCAAGCCACCCTTTTTTCTTGCTTGTATTTTTCACTGACATTTTCAAGAGTGGTGGCTGGAATTAACTACAAAGTCTATGACAGTGAATAAGAGCCAAGTTAATTTGCACGTGGTAGTTGAGCTCAGGAGTTTGACTTCATTTTTGTTTTGCAAGAATCAGCTGAACTAATGAACCTGACCTTCTAAACATACACATTTCCTAGCAATAATCTATTGGCCATCAGATATAAAGTCTGCGATCCTGACTCTATGCTTATTGGATGCATTGGGGTCATAATGTCTTCTATAAGAAGTCCTCCTTCATTTTTCTTTGAAGTATTGCCTTCTTAGAAAAAGGAGCAGTTTGTGCCAATTCTCCACCACTAAGCACGATGAGCTCTCATTGGTGCGGTGTTTAAAGCGTTTGGCTGCTGACCAAAAAGTTGGACTTTGAATCCCTCAGCCACTCCGCTGGAGACAAACAACGCAAACTGCTTCCATAAAGATTTACAGCCTTGGAAACCATATGGAGCAGTTCTACGCTGTCTGGGTTTTATTGTTGGGTGGTGTCGAGTTGGTTTTCATGTACAACAGAATGAACACTGCCTGGTGCCGCCCAGCCCTCATTGTCATTGCCACATCATTACTGTACTAGCCCATTGTTGCAGCAACTGTGTCAGTCCATCTCCATCCATCCATCACTGAGGGTCTTCCTTTGTTTCTACTGACCCTCTACTTTACCTAGCATGATATGCTTCTCCCGGGACTGGTCCCTTCTGACAACACAACAAAGCACGTGAGACAACAGTCTGGCCACTCTCACTTCTAAAGACAATTCCATCTATACTTCTTTCAAGACAGACATGTTTGTTCCTCTGGCAGACCATGGTGTTTTCAGTATTCTTCACCAACCACCACAATTCAAATGCAGCCTTTCTTCTGCGGTCTTCCTTATTCGTTGTCCAGCTTTCACATGCGTAGGAGGCTATTGAAAATAACATGGCTCTGGTCAAGCGCACCTTAGTCTTCAAAGTGACATCTTTGCTCTTTAACACTTTAAAGAGGTCTTTTGCAGCAGTTTTGCCCAATGCAATGTCGTTTGATCTCTTGACTGCTGCTTGCATGGGAGTTGATTGTGGATCCAAGTAAAACGAAATCCTTGGCAACTTCAATCTTCTCTTCATTTATCTGATATTACTTATTGGTCCAGTTGTGAGGATTTTTGTTTTCTTTATGTTCAGGTGTAATCTACAGTGAAGACTGCGGTAAGTGCTTCAACTCTTCTTCATTTTTTGCAAGCAAGGTTGGGTCATCTGCATATCACAAATTATTAATGACTCTTCCTTCAATCCTGATGCTGTGTTCTCCTTCATATAGTGCAGCTTCTTGCATTATTTCCTCAGCATACAGATTGAATAAGGGTGGTGAAGGATACGATCCTCATGCACACCTCTGATTTTAAACCACACAATGTCCCCTTGTTCTGTTTGAATGACTGCCTCTTGGTCCACGTACAAGTTCCTCATAAGCACAATTAAGTGTTCTGAAATTCCCATTCTTCACAATGATATCCATAATTTGTTATGATCCACACAGTCAAGTTAGTCAGTAAAACAGAGGTAAACATCTTTCTGGAATTACTTGCTTTCAGCCAAGATCCATCTGACATCAGCAATGATATTCCTCTTTCCATGTCCCCTTCTGTATCCGGTTTGATTTTCTGGCAGTTCCCTGTCGATGTACTGCTGCAGTCATTGTTGAATTACTACTCTAACCTAGAGAGTTGCTATGAGTCAGAATTGACTTGATGGCAGTGTTTTTTTTTTTTAAAGCATGTTGACTCCATTACTAGTTTGTGGTTGCATAGCCAGCTCTTAGCCTTCTAGTACATTGGTCCTTAACTGTAGCCGCAACCTCCCCATACCTTTTACAACTCTCTATGCTTGTAACCGGGAGCTCTGGTAGCATAGTGGCTAAGGCACTTGACTGCTCACCAGATGGCTGGCGGTTCAAACACATTAGGGACTCCTCGTAAGGAAGACTGGGCAATCTACTTCCATAGTGATACTGCCTCGGAAACCCAAGGAGGGGTTGCTATGAGTCAGGGCTGACTTGACAGCACATAACAACAACAACAACAACATGCTTGTAACCAAAAGTTAAGAGAAGTACAGCAGTTTTATAAACAGCAGTGATACAGACTTCTAGCTTATGACAGTTTATAGAGATAGATTCCTCTTCACAGTTGCATAACGCATGCATTCATGTGTATGGTAGAGTAACAAGTTGAATATCTTACACACTTTTCTAAAATAATTATTTTACTTTTCAAGGTGATTGGTTTCATATATGTCTTTTTTTCTCAGAGATACATAATATCTTGCAGGGCAAGGCCTGTGTCTCATTTCTCTCCCTCTAAAGCCTAGAATCAACCAAACCCAAGTCAGTTGCCTTGGAGTCGTTTCCAACTCATGGTGATCCCATGGGTGTCAGAGTAGAACTGTGCTCCATAGGGTTTTCACGGGCTGATTTTTCAGAAGTAGATTACCAGAACCTTCTTCTCAGTTGCCTCCAGGTAGATTTGAACTGCCAACCTTTCAGTTAATAGCTGAGCACTTAACCACTTGTGCAACCTTGGGGGGGAGGTGGAAAACAAACTCACTGCCGTGGAGTCGGACCCGACTCAGCGACTCCTCCTTGGGTTTCTGAGGCAGTATCACTACGGAAGTAGATTGCCCCATCTTCCTTCTGAGGAATGGCCAGTGGGTTTGAACCACCAGCCTTCTGGTCAGCAGTCAAATGCCTCAGACATTGTGCCACCAGAGCTAGGCACCAACCAATAAATGCTTCTTGAATGAATAAAATAAGTGCATAAGTCTCTTTAGTAATCAGGCTGGGCTTCCGTTTAGGGAGAGTCCATGGTCTTGCAGAGAGTAATCTAGGGCTTCATGGAAGGAAAACATCCCTTTTATGGATCTGATACATCTTCATTCTTTCGTATTTAGAAAACATGGTCACTGGAACGTTACCCATCTTATTAGTACATGTTAGGTCTGTAAGTAGTGCAAATCCAACTGCTAGCCTAAAGGTGAGTGATTCGAACCCACCCAGCAGTGCTGTGTAGAAAGACCTGGTGATGTGCTTCAGAAAGATTACAACCGAGAAAACCCTGCTGTGTAAAACATGGGGTCACCATGGGTCAGAATTGACAGGATGGCAGTGGGATTGGTTTGGGATTTATTAATTGACTTTAAATAATTCAGTATTCAGATGTCAAAATGTTTCCCTGTATGAAGATAATATCTTCTCTCTCCAACTCCCTCAGTCTCTGCTTGAAGGGGATCAGGCTGATGAGTGGTCCCCAGCCGGGCACTGACCAGCTTGGGGCCTTAACTTGAACTAGACACCGAATGCAGGCTGGACTGTTGAGGGCAGAGCAGGATAGAACAGACCCTCCAAGGGAAACCAGGGAGTTTCAAACAAACAGGGTGCTGTTTCAGTTGCTTCTGTTGTTAAAATTCCCCCTACCCCACAGTCACCACATAGAAAGCTACCCAAAATGTCCTGTATTTTGTTCGCTGGGGCTTGGATCCAGGTTAGACCCCTTCTTACAAGTAAGATTGGAAAGATTTTGTAGAGGCTCATGTTCTGGTTACCTAGGGGCACTCTGACAAGAATATACCACAAATGGGATGGCCTTAACAAACAGGAGTTTCTCTTACAGTTCAGGAGGCTAGAAGTCC